GATGATTAATATTTATTCTCTACTTTTCTTCTTGATCGGATTAGGATGAAATATGACTAACTGTCGACTTAATTTATGCAAAATGGTTAGAAGAGTAACTTGTTAATTGATAAATAACAGCTGAAAACGTTTCTCCATGGATAATATAAAACATGGTTCCAAAATAAAACAAATCAGTACAGAACTATAAGGAAGAAAACTTTTTTCTTTTCCTTGTAAATCAAAAATTTTCTTCATTGTAATTCTATACTCTTTCGTTTCATATTTCATCCTAACTGTAGTGTCACATAATTATGATTTAGAATATTATTGATGAATCGATCTGATACGTTCAAATTGATTCGTAACATTCCAGTGCAAAAATTGTCTGCAAATCGATCTGGTATTACTTTGGTTTGGCTTGAAAATACATCGTGTTCGTCATGCAATCACAATCAAATTCGATTGCATAGTTTTAGCAACAGATGTTTTATTGTTTATTATTCAAATATATCGAAATGTATTAAATACTTGAAACAAGCCCGATCACGTGAATATGTTATTGCTATTATTGTATCTTATCCTATGGAAACAATTCAACGCATCATTCATCGACTTCAACAATATCATCTTATTCAAACAATGTTCGTTATTCATTCCGATAGAGATATAGATAATCACCTATCGTCAATAAACGATAATCTTCATGTTTTTCGAACTCAAGAATCAATGTTTGAACTTTTAGAAAAACGAATTGAAGAAGTCGAGAAACAAAATTTAAGTGGTGGTTTATTTACAACTTTCTATCGAAAAGAAAAATCTCTGAAAGATGTTCGAGAGGATTTAGCAACATTTGTTTGGACTCATGTATTTAAAGGTAAGTGCTTCGAAAGCATTCATTAAACAGCATTCACGTCATATATTTAGTTGTATTGATGAGTATGCCTTGTGATTCTCTTGAGGCCAAACATCAAATGTTAAGTGAATGTCGAGCTTATTATCGAAATGATGTTGTTCAATTAGCTCAA